CGTTATATTCCCTTCCACGTAATACCTTTGGGAAAGGTCTGAACCCACCTCTTCTCCCCCCAACTATGGGTAATTAGTAAGGCTTGTATTACTAATTCATTATCTCCAAAAACAAAAAAAAATCTTAGAATCTAAAAATATTTCCTGGCTTTAAATAACCTACAAAGTGTTGATAAACCTTAGAAAACAAACCAATCAATCAATATAAAGAACATTTTGAAGAGACACTAAGTTGACATTGTCCTAAGTAGGCTATTCTTAAACAGATACGTTTTGGGAAGTTCTTGTGTTTACGTCTCCGAAACAGATATTATGCCATGTTGTACGCAGATTATCTTTTTTAAATATGGGACACACCATGCGACTTCCACGGAGTTGAATCACCTTCATTTCCTCCGTGTTCCACTCAGAAAACCTTTCACCAAGAACTGCCACTTTGCAGAACGGGGTCCCACATGGTTGCTTCTCCGAGCACTACAACAGTGACCTCTACAAGTCAAGGGTCAGTCATTATCTATTCTCTTTACCCTCATAATCTTCACTTCCTATCAACTCTTTCAGACAACTCTTCATAATTAGCATTTTAACAGTAACCATAATTACCTTTTTAACAGTCTACTCTGAGTGGCGCTCGGGCCTTGTATTGGTTGAATTCTAGTATCTATATAAATAAAGCGCAGTGTACGTGTGTCCGTCCGTTCTTCGATCTCTGCAAATCATAAACAATCTGAAGTAACAGGTTGTAATTACTTTAGTTACATGCGATTAAAAGTTAAATAACTCATTTAAAGTTAAATTTAAATATCGAACAGAATGAAGAAAAAATTCTGTATTAAATATTAAACTTTAATTTCGCTTTTTATCGGAATTGTAATTGATATCGTCTAATTAAACCGTAATTAAAACTTAAGCGGGGCACGGTACGTTGCTCATATGGATTTCTTTTTCTTTTCCTAACATACGTACTGTGACGTATTAGAAATATTACATAGTTCGTGACTTTATGTGGAGGGATCATAAAGAATGGTGATTAAAAATAAAAAATGCGCGCAAAATAAACGCAAACCACGGAGATCGGTTGCATATACGAATAAAGTTTATGCCGAATTAAGTGTCGAATAAAGATAAAATAATTTTATTATTTCTAAGTTCTTATAACTTTTACGTACATAGGATGATGAAGTTAAATGACCTCCTCAGGAGCGAGCCTAAAGTCTGCCCCAAGGGCAGTTTCTAGGCTAGTCGAAAATATAACTAGAACAAGGCGTGGCACGTTGATGCATTTTTTTCCTAATTAACCCTAAACGAAAACAACTCCACTGATGGATCTGAAAACTTGGAAAACACATACTCCGATATGTTGGTCATTTGTTGAATGTACATTGAAATACAAAGAATGTGGAATGTTCATAATATACCATTATGATAATATGTCAAACGCATCAACCTGCTCCACCTGCGGGGCACACTGATACACCCGGAGGGGGCATGTTGATGCACTGATAATCAAATGGATTCAAATGATAACAAAGTAAAATGTGGGGTTAAATGCAATTTTTAGTGTTAAGAGAATATACAAATCGATGGAACGTAGACCAATGAGTAAATATATAGTTACTAATCAGAATCTATTCGTTCGCATCCTTGCAATGTTGACAAATAAAAAACAAAGTTTCTCATTCCAAAGTCGGTGCATTCCTCGTGAACCCAGTTGCGACAAACCGAACACTGGGTCGACTCCTCCCCTACCCCGAGAGTTAACATACGCACCAAAACAATAAATGCAGTACCACTCATCTGCGTCTGATTTGCAATGTGAGAATACAACCACCTGCTGTCATAATTTTGATCCTTTCTCTCCTTTGCTGACAGGGGCTTTCTTCCCTTTCCTTTCCCTAATTTGCCCTTTTTATTCTTTTGTCCTTTTGCCTCCCCTCACCTGAGAGTTCCTTCCTTTGCTGACAGGGGCTTTCTTTCTCTTCACTCCCCTACTTTGCCCTGTCCATTCCTTTGTCCCTTACTTCGACCCACCTGAGATTTACTTCCTTTGCTGACAAGGGCTTTCCTCTCTTTCCCTCCCCTACTTTGGTTATTCTATTCTTTTGTCCCTTACCTCCTCCCACCTACGATTTCCTTCTTTTACTGACAGGTTCTTTCTTCTTATTCCCTTCCCTACTTTTCCCTTTCCATTCCTTTGTCCCTTACCCCCACCTGAGATCTTCTTCCTTTACTGACAAGAGCTTTCTTCTCCTTTCTTCCCCTACTTTGTCCTTTCCATTCTTCTGTTTCTGACCTCCTTCACCTGAGTTTTTTTTTGCCAATGCTGGTTTTCTAAGTTGACAGAAGATTTTTCATTTGTGTATCAGTAGGAATTTCGCCTTTTCCTCTTTCTTGCATCAACCTACACCACCACCTAAGTAAATATTCAAAGACCTGTTGCCAGACCCACACTGTTCGCAGAGTTTTGCAAATGGACTCAATCAAAGAAAACTGATAGTAGTTTATCATATTACAAGGGTATAATTATATTTGCAAATAAATTTGAATTAGAAAAATATTAGTAGAAAATATGTTTTATTGACCGCGCTAAAATCGCAGATTTTTAACAAATTTGGTTCAAACTTCCTCGATTCGCAGAACTTCGTCTTTCAAACAGGAACATAGCAGGAAGGTTTAAATACACGTGCTGGTACCACTTGCAAAAGAATAGACGCTACCGTTTCTGAAATATGCTTTGGGGATGAACCGACGTTGTGCATCAATGTACCCCGCCTTACCCTATAAGTAAATGAATGAAGTAGTCATTTCCCCTTTCATTTGAATACAGAATATAACACAGAATATTACATGAATAGAGCTAGTAAGGTTTCATCATCGTAAAACAGTCCCAGTGTTTCATCCAGTTTTTAATGGATGGTTGAACTCTCAATAACGCACTTTGCTTTAAATGTCTATTGGATGTCAAGCTCACTGCAGACGTCAAGTGGAACTCGTATAATGATGTTGGAAAAATGGTCAGTTCATTGTACCACAACAGTAAGCACCCGCCTCCTTCTGAAATGTTCTATCTTTACAAGAGCCTGGTTAGAAATGGATAATTGCTTCAACATGGCGGCTGGATCTGTCCAACCCCTACTTTCCAGCTTCGACGGGATTCGAAAGTGTTTACGCGACTTTATGGGTCATTTATTATTTTCCGCCCTACAACCTCTTTCCCACAAACGAAATGTTGCAAGTTTCTCACTCTTCTATCGCTATTTCCATGACAGATATTCAGACGACCCGCATTTCTGCCTGTACAACTCATTCTTATTCTCGTTGTATTCCATTTGTAAGGAGGAAGTTCCAATCAGTTTCTTTCCCAGAAGTATTACTGGAAAAGACTCCTGAGAGTATACTTCCACAATGTGTACGATCTTAACGGGTTAACCGTTATCTACGCTACATATCCTTACACCGCTTACTCTCTCTCTCTCTCTCTCTCTCTCTCTCTCTCTCTCTCTCTCTCTCTCTCTCTGTAGGCCCTTACAACCGAGCACCTCATTCAGTAAAATTCTACCTTGAGTCGCTCTTGGGTCTTGTATTGAGTGGAGAATAGTATGAAAAAGACCCCGAAAACCAAACAAATCACAACACTCACTTCTGTCTCTGTTGCAAACCCGTTCGCATCGCAAATTTAGAAAGCTGATTTTCAAAGCAGGCAGTCGGGCATTCTTCATTTGAAAGACTGGTGTGACTAAATCCCTTTCGTCATATTCTCCTCTTTTCGATCTTATATCGAAGGAAAGCAATTAAGTGAGAGAAAACTTTTTCAGGAAGTCAATGAATTGACCAACAGAAATGATGCTTGATCGGCTTGCATGTAATCGCTTTTAAACAAAATTGTTCTGTTCTTAGCGCCACGGCCTCTGGCAATCATCGCTGCAGATGGAATTACAATTTAAATCTTCTGCAGGCGCTGAAATACACCGGCGATTATTTTGTTGTTTTCAATGGCGTATCTGGGCTCGTTTATCGAATGGAATAACTGTAGATTGATAAATGTATGTATTTCTATCTCTCTTTAAATGCTCTCCCCTTTCTTTAGGCATCTGAACTAACGCTCTTCTGTCAAGTTTCATTTGATAACCATCAATAAATGCTTGGTCTCCATGTTTTGTTTCACATTAAAGTCGAGAAAATAATAAAAAATGTTTAATAATTTAAACTGCCATCAGCAACACAAAATGTTACAGAACAATACACTATTAATAGAGTCATTATGTGTGTGCGGGTGAGAGAAGACATGTGCGTATGTAACTGCGTACGAGTATGAGTGAAATTAAGAGCGTGTGTAAGTGTGCGTAAGAGAGAAAGAGTGTGTGCAGGTGAAAGATAGACTTGTGTGTGCTTATGAGTGAGTGCTTTCGAAATAAAGACTGTTTCTGTGTGCGAGGCTTAGATGTGGCACATGGCCGAAATTATGGGGCGCCCAGTAAGGATCGAACTCACTATTCAGTTGTAACAGTTTTAGCAAGACCAGCTTGCTAACCATTACACCATGCCGAGGCGCCCAACATAATAATGATTTTCTAAGCGTAGCTTAGATGTGGTACAAGGCCGAAAGTAGGAGCACCCAGTGAGGATCGAACTTAACACTCAGTCGTAATTACAACAAGACAAACTCGCTAACCGTTACACCGCCTCGAGGTGTCCTGTTTTTGCGTGTGTATGTATGAGTGAAAGTATGCAATGTCTCGCTATAAACAATTATAACTGAGTAGTGAGTTCGATCCTCACTGGGTGCCGCCTACTTTCGGCCTTGTGTCATATCTAAGCTACGTTCGGAAAATCACTATGGTTAGTAATCAGAATCTACTCACTGGCATCCTTGCACTGCTGACAACTAAACGTTTCTCATTCCAAAGTCGGTGCATTCTTCATAAACCCAGTTGCGACAACCCGAACATTGGATCGACTCTTCCCTGCACCAAGAGTTAACATAAGCACCACAACAATAAATGCAGTACCACTTATCAGTGTCTGATTTGCAATCTGAGAATACAACCACCTGCTGTCATCATTTTGATCCTTTCCCTCCTTTACTGAGAGGGGCTTTCTTCCCTTTCTCTCCCCTAATTTGCCCTTTCTATTCTTTTGTCCCTTACCTCCCCCCACCAGAGATGTCCTTCCTTTCCTGACATAGGATTTCTTCTCCTTCCTGACCCAACTTTGCATTTTTCCATTCTTTGTCCCTTACCTCCCCACACCTGAGATTTCCTTCCTTTGTTGACAGGGGCTTTCTTTCCCTTCCCTTTCCTACCTTGCTCTTTCCATTCCTTTGTCCCTTATCCCGACCCACCTGAGTTTCCTTCCTTTGCTGACAGGGGCTTTCTTCCTTCCTTTCCTACCTTGCTCTTTCCATTCCTTTGTCCTTATCCCGACCCACCTGAGATTTCCTACCTTTTTTGCTGACAGGGGCTTTTTTCCCCTTCCGTTTCTTACCTTGCCCTTTCCATTCCTTTGTCCCTTATCCCGACCCACCTGAGATTTCCTACCTTTGCTGACAGGGGCTTTCTTCCCCTTCCCTTTCTTACCTTGCTCTTTCCATTCCTTTGTCCCTTATCCGGACCCACCTGAGATTTCCTTCCTTTGCTGACAGGGGCTTTCTTCTTCTTCCCTTTCCTACTTTGCCCTTTCCATTCCTTTGTCCCTTATCCCGCCCCACCTGAGATTTCCTACCTTTGCTGACAGGGGCTTTCTTCCCCTCCCTTTCCTACCTTGCTCTTTCCATTCCTTTTCTTCCCCACCTGAGATTTCCTTTGCCTTCCCTTTCCACCTTCCTTTTTCCATTCCTTGTCCCCCTTATTCCGACCCACCTGAGATTTCCTCCTTTGTTGACAGGGGGCTTTCTTCCCCCTTTTGCTCTTTCCATTCCTTTGTCCCTTTCCTACCTTTTCCTTCTTTCCCTTTCCTGCTTCCTTTGTCCCTTATCCCGACTCACCTGAGATTACCTTCCTTTGCTGACAGGGGCTTTCTTTTCTTCCTTTCCTACTTTGCCCTTTCCATTCCTTTGTCCCTTATCCTTTTCCTTCCCTGACAGGGGCCTTTCCCTTTCCTTTCCTACTTTTTCCATTCCTTTGTCCCATTCCTTTGTCCCAGGGCTTTCTTCTTCTTCCCTTTTCTACCCCTTTCCATTCTTTTTGTCCCATATCCCACCCCACCTGAGATTCCTTCCTTTGCTGACAGGGGCTTTCTTCCCTTCCCTTTCCTTCCTTGCTCTTTCCATTCCTTTGTCCCTTATCCCCTTTGCTCACCTTCCCATTCCCTTTCCTCCTTTGCTCTTTTCCATTCCTTTGTCCCTTATTCCTTTTGCTGACAGGGCTTTCTTCCCTTCCCTTTCCCTTTCTTTCCATTCCTTTGTCCCTTATCCCGACCCACCTGATATTTCCTACCTTTGCTTTTCCCCTTCCTTTGTCCCCTTTCCTTATCCCGACCCACCTGAGATTTCCTACCTTTGCTGACAGGGGCTTTTCTTCCCCTTCCTTTCCTACCTTGACCCTTTCCATTCCTTTGTCCCTTATCCCGACCCACCTGAGATTTCCTTCCCTTTGCTGACAGGGGCTTCTTCTTCCCTTCTTTTCCATTCCTTTGTCCCTTATCCCTGACCCACCTTTCCATTCCTTTTCTTCTTCCCTTTCTACTATCCCCCTTATCCACCTGAGATTTCCTTCCTTTGCTTTCTTCCCCTTCCTTTCCTACTTTTTCCATTCCTTCCCTTATTCTAATTTCCTTCCTTTGTTGACAGGGGCTTTCCCTTCCCTTTCCTACCTTGCTCTTTCCATTCCTTTGTCCCTTATCCCGACCCACCTGAGATTTCCTTCCTTTGCTGACAGGGGCTTCTTCCCTTCCCTTTCTTTCCATTCCTTTGTCCTTATCCCGACTCACCTGATTTTCCATTCCTTTGTCCCTTTGTCCCTTATCCCGACCCACCTGAGATTTCCTACCTTTGCTGACAGGGGCTTCCCTTCCCTTCTTTCCATTCCTTTGTCCCTTTCCATTCCTTTCCTTCCTTTGCTGACATATCCCCTTCCCTTTCCTGACCTTGTTTTCCTTCCTTTGCTGACAGGGCTTTCTTCCCCTCCCTTTCCTACCTTGCTCTTTCCATTCCTTTGTCCCTTATCCCGACCACCTGAGATTTCCCTACCATTGCTGACAGGGCTTTCTTCCCTTCCCTTTCTTACCTTTGTCCTTTCCCGCCTCTTTCCATTTTCTTTGTCCCTTTTCCCGACCCACCTGAGATTTCCTTCCTTTGCTGACAGGGCTTTCTTTCTTCTTCTTCCCTTTCCTACTTTGCCCTTTCCATTCCTTTGTCCTTATCCCTCCACCCACCTGAGATTTCCTACCTTTGCTGACAGGGGCTTTCTTCCCCTTCCCTTTCCTACCTTGCTCTTTCCATTCCTTTGTCCCTTATCCCGACCCACCTGAGATTTCCTACCTTTGCTGACAGGGGCTTTCTTCCCCTTCCCTTTCCTACCTTGCTCTTTCCATTCCTTTGTCCCTTATCCCGACCCACCTGAGATTTCCTACCTTTGACAGGGCTTTCTTCCCTTCCTTTTCCTACCTTTTTCCATTCCTTTGTCCCTTATCCCTGATATTTCCTACCTTTGCTGACAGGGGCTTTCTTCCCTTCCCTTTCTTACCTTGCTCTTTCCATTCCTTTGTCCCTTATCCCGACCCACCTGAGATTTCCTACCTTTGCTGACAGGGGCTTTCTTCCCCTTCCCTTTCTTACCTTGCTCTTTCCATTCCTTTGTCCCTTATCCCGACCCACCTGAGATTTCCTTCCTTTGCTGACAGGGGCTTTCTTCTTCTTCCCTTTCCTACTTTGCCCTTTCCATTCCTTTGTCCCTTATCCCGACCCACCTGAGATTTCTCACCATTGCTGACAGGGGCTTTCTTCCCTTCCTTTCTTACCTTACTCTTTCCATTCCTTTGTCCCTTATCCCGACCCACCTGAGATTTCCTTCCTTTGCTGACAGGGGCTTTCTTCTTCTTCCCTTTCCTACTTTGCCCTTTCCATTCCTTTGTCCCTTATCCCGCCCCACCTGAGATTTCCTACCTTTGCTGACAGGGGCTTTCTTCCCCTTCCCTTTCCTACCTTGCTCTTTCCATTCCTTTGTCCCTTATCCCGACCCACCTGAGATTTCCTTCCTTTGCTGACAGGGGCTTTCTTCCCCTTCCCTTTCCTACCTTGCTCTTTCCATTCCTTTGTCCCTTATCCCGACCCACCTGAGATTTCCTTCCTTTGCTGACAGGGCTTTCTTCTTCCCTTTCCCCATTCCTTTGTCCTTATCCCGACTCACCTGAATTTCCTTCCTTTGCTGACAGGGGCTTTCTTCTTCTTCCCCCTACTTTTGCCTTTCCATCCTTTGTCCCTTATCCCAGTCCACCTGAGATTTCCTACCTTTGCTGACAGGGGGCTTTCTTCCCTTCCTTTCCTACCTTGCTCTCCATTCCTTTGTCCCTTTCCCTGAGATTTCCTTCCTTTGCTGACAGGGGCTTTCTTCCCCTTCCTTTCCTACCTTGCTCTTTCCATTCCTTTGTCCCTTTCCCCACCTGAGTTTTCCTTCCTTTGCTGACAGGGGCTTTCTTCCCTTCCCTTTCCTACCTTGCTCTTTCCATTCCTTTGTCCCTTATCCCGACCACCTGTTTTCCTACCTTTGTGACAGGGGGGCCTTCCCCTTCCCTTTCCTACCTTGCTCTTTCCATTCCTTTGTCCCTTATCCCGACCCACCTGAGATTTCCTACCTTTGCTGACAGGGCTTTCCCCTTCCTTTGCATTCCTTTGTCCCTTAGGGACCCACCTTTCCTTCCTTTGCTTTCCCTTTCCTTTCTTTTGCCCTTTCCATTCCTTTGTCCCTTATCCCGACCCACCTGAGATTTCCTTCCTTTGCTGACAGGGGATTTCTTCTCCTTCCTTTCCCTACTTTTCACTTTCCCTTCTTCTGTTTCTTACCTCCTCCACCTGAGATTTTTTGCCAATGCTGATTTTCTAAATTTACAGAAGATTGTAATAAAGTGAGTGTATGTGAAAGGAAGTTTGTTTCACAAGTTTTTTTGACTATAAGAGAGAGTGTAAATTTGTTGATTGTTTGATTCATTTTCTACGGCTTATCAACCCTTTGCAGGTTATTTAAAGTCAGGATATAACTGAAAATTGTTTTTTTTTTTTTTTTTGGAAGTGGGGAGATAATAATTATTCATTGATACATGTTTTACTAATTAAACCATAACTGGGGAGAGAAGAGGTGGGTTCATGCCTTTGCAAAGTTTTTTGCGCGTAAGTGAATGTAACTGGAACCCAACTAGAACTCGGCTCTCCGATTAACAATTTCAAGCCATTATCCAATACACCAGCGGCACATCACCTCGTATTCTCAAGTGGTCACCCATATAGGTAGTGACCAGTTTAGATGTTGCTTAATATCAGTGACCATACGTGAAGCGGATTTTCAACGTGATGTGGCCATAAACCAGAGTTGGATGTGTGTGTGTGTGTGTGTGTGTGTGTGTGTGTGTGTGTGTGTGTGTGTGTGTGTGTGTGTGGTGTGGATGAAAGAGAGTGTGTGAAAATTAATGAACGCGAGAATGTGCTTGTGCGTGAAACTTTGTTTGTGGACGTATGTGTGGCTGGTCAATATGTTTCAAAGAGTGTGTATGTGTGCATGAAAAGGAGAATATGAACATTAGAAAGAGAAGGAGAGAGGTGTGTGTGTGCTAGAGAGGAGAGTGCGTACCCATTTTTGTCTATATATGTGTCTAAGTGTACTTACGAATCCGTGTGTATTAAATAAAGTGTGTGTGAGTGTGCGTACGCGAAAGAGGAGAAAGATGTGTGCGCGCAAGAGAGGAGAGTATGTACCCATTTTTGAATGTAGGTGTGTCTAAGTGTACTTATGAATGCGTGTGTGTTAAATAAAGTGTAATTGTGCGTATGAAAAACCGTGCGAAGCAGTGTATGTGTGTGTGTATGAAATAAGATATTTGTGCGTAAAAGAAAGAATACTCAACAAAGGGTGTGGTGTAAAAGAATGTACACGTGTGTGAGAGTATGTGTCTACAACAGCCGTCTATTGACCAGGGAATTTCGTGCTGAACCCTTTATTTAATCTACGGGATTCTCTTTCCGCTATCTTTTGTAATATTTCGTCTTGTTCTTATTTAGTACAGCTTAGTCATTGGTTGTCTTCTTTTCACTGAGACTAAGTAGCAAACTTGTACTAAAAGTACCAAGAATTGACCTCCTAACTGTCACCAAATTAACGAAGCGGCCTTTTAATCTATTAAGCAATATTCTCATGGGATAATCCTGAATATAAAATTGAGATCTGTCTATATTTCTGAGATGAGGTATTTTAACTATTTACATTATTTACATTGTTCGGACGGTTGTCCTCATCTCTATTGTCATATTCACGACTTTTCGGTCGTTGTACGCACCGGCCATCTTCAGAATCTGTACATAATTCTGCGATGAGGTATTGTAACTACTTACAATATTTACATTGTTCGTGCTGTCGTCTTCATCTTTATTGTCATTTTTACGACTTTTCGGACGTTGTACGCACCGGTCTTCTTCAGGTTCTGTCTATGTTTCTGAGATTAAGTATTGTAACGATTTACATTGTTCGGATTGTTTTCCTCATCTTTATTGTCATATTCACGGCGTTTCCGTCGCTGTATGTTCTGTAAGGACACATGGCCCAGCGGATAAAACCGCTGATATTGCTCGAAATAAAATGACGAATCATTCTTAGTGGTTATCGAAATGGTATTTACTTCACGGCACTCATAATATTCAACGGTCCTCAGCACTGAAAGTGGGATCCTGTGATCTGATATCAAATTCCAATCGCGTCTGTTTCGGACCCATTCGCACTTGGGTTAGGCATGAAACCATCTATACTACTCTGCTACCAGCTCTGGGTTAAATAGCAGGATAAAACGGCCCAGATATAGAGATACAGTTTCTTTAGTAAGACTTATATGAAGTCCGGTTGAAATTAATTCCTCTGTAAGGAAAATAAAAAAGGATGATATATTCTCAAGTAAATGTATCCACTAAAACAACTTTTATCGCAATAAATACATGCGAGCACGTTCTTCAACCGGTTATCCAGCTTCAGCAGCCATTATATTTGGCAACTAATCTTTTACAGTGTGCCAAACATACACGTACACATCACACTCATGCGCACGCACACACGCACGCACACAAACAGGATTCTTAGAAACTATGAATTCCTATTTATTTGTCTATATTTCTGAGATGAGCTATTATGTGGACTATTTACATTATTCGGACTATTTTCCTCAAAGACACATGACACAGGGGATAAAGGCGTTAGTTAGATCCAGTGACAGGACACAAAGAGTGTGAGTTCAATACCTGGTTAAGGCGGTGTAGAACTTGGAGAGGAGAATTAACAGGAGATAACAGATAACTGACATCCATTAAACATGGCACGTGGAACTAGAACAGTCTACCCAAGTGAGCGTAATAAAGGGTTCAGTTCGACATTCCAACCACCTGAAGAAGGCCGGAACTTACATCAGCCGAAACGTTGTAATAAATATGTCGAAAAAGATGACGACAATAGTCCGAATGATGTAAATAGTGTACATAATACCTCATCTCAGAAATATAGACAGATACTGAAAGGCCGAAACGTTGTAATAAATATGGCGACAAAGATGAGGACAATAGTCCGAATAATGTAAATAGTGCACATAATACCTCATCTCAGAAATATAGACAGATACTGAAAGGCCGAAACGTTGTAATAAATATGGCGACAAAGATGAGGACAATAGTCCGAATAATGTAAATAGTGTACATAATACCTCATCTCAGAAATATAGACAGATACTGAAAGGCTGAAACGTTGTAATAAATATGGCGACAAAGATGAGGACAATAGTCCGAATAATGTAAATAGTGTACATAATACCTCATCTCAGAAATATAGACAGATACTGAAAGGCCGAAACGTTGTAATAAATATGGCGACAAAGATGAGGACAATAGTCCAAATAATGTAAATAGTTGTATATAATACCTCATCTCAGAAATATAGACAGATATTTAAAGGCCGAAACGTTGTAATAAATATGGCGACGAGATGAGGACAATAGTCCAAATAATGTAAATAGTGTACATAATACCTCATCT